GTTTTTACTTTTTACAGTGTTGTCGAAGAAATCGAAACTGCAAAACTTAATTCTCTGGATAGAAGCTTGAGATCACAATTAAGCAATGATGATTCTGAAGCAATAGTTAAAGACGATTTTATTGAGGTAAACAAATTAAGACCTTGGTTCGATTGTCATCTGAGCTAAGGATCATATCCTCAGACTGTCATAGTTCGAATATTTTAAAGCTTGCCATCGCACTTTGTTATTGATCATAGATTTTGGGAGCAATTTCTCATAGCCTGCTATTGCACATGGTTCTTGACTGATAAATTTCACACACAAACACACACGTGTGTATGTGTATATCAATATCATTCAATCAAAATATGCCTCGTTCTTGGTTTTCTGATTATTTGCTGACAAAATTGTGTCGTTATTTTTCCTTGGATTTGACAGGATGCTCTGGCCAACAAACCTACATCACAAAATGGTGGAAAGAATGGCAACTGCCGGACATCAAGTGAATCTGATATTACCCTGTCCAGTTCTGGAAGCAGCTCAGGGCTTGATACACCTTGTGAAATCCCATTGAAGAACAACACAGTCCATCACGAGCAAATAAGCTTTCCGTCCTCTCTGAATAATGCTTTGTTTCCCCGGAAGCAAAATAGCAATGTCTCAACAACAGTTCATGAAGAAAGTCCGAATGCACACTGGGAGTGGATGGAAGGTTCTGCTTTTGATGCGGGTACAGATGTTGTTGAAAAGCTCAAAACTGATCTCTTAGCTATGGCCAGGCAAGCAGACGTGTCGGATTTGGAACTACAGACTCTTCGGAAACAGATAGTCAAGGAGAGCAAAAGGGGACAGGACCTCTCAAAAGAGGTAGCTAGTTTGAAAGAGGAACGAGATGCTCTCAAGGAAGAATGCGATAAACTTAAAGCCTCACAGAAACGTATTGACGAGACAAAGTCCAAAGACAAGTTGCTTTACGACAATGGGGATATTCAGGCTCTTGTAGATGAGCTTAGGCAAGAGTTGAATTATCAAAAGGACATGAATGCAAATCTTCAGATACAACTTCAGAAGACACAAGAATCAAATTCTGAGCTAATTCTTGCTGTCCAAGATCTAGATGAGATGTTGGAACAGAAAAACCAAGAAATCGCTAACCTATCCAATAAATCAACGTCGTGTGATGAAGCTGAGAAGTTTCCAGATGTTATCTCCAACTCCAAGCATGAAATGAGTGATGAAGATGATGAAGAGCAAAAAGCACTTGAGCAGCTTGTGAGACAGCATAGCAATGCCAAGGAAACATACGTGCTAGAGCAAAAAATCATGGACCTGCATGGTGAAATTGAGATCTACAGAAGAGACAGAGACGATTTAGAGATGCAGATGGAGCAACTTGCCCTTGACTATGAGATACTGAAGCAAGAAAACCATGACATGTCATACAAATTGGAGCAAAGCCAGATACAGGAACAATTAAAGATGCAGTATGAATGTTCCTCTTCGTATGCCACTGCAAGTCAAATGGAAGCCCAGATCGAGAGTTTGGAGAACGAGCTGAAGAAGCAATCTGAAGAATTCTCTGACTCTTTGGTCACGATTAGTGATCTTGAAGCTCAAGTGAGAAACTTGGAGGAAGAACTGGAAAAGCAAGCCCAGGGATTTGAAGCTGATTTGGGTGCGCTGACTCGTGATAAAGTTGAACAAGAGCAGAGAGCGATACGAGCTGAAGAAGCATTGAGGAAGACAAGATGGCAAAATGCTAGCACAGCAGAGCGGCTTCAGGAGGAATTTAAACGGCTCTCTGTCCAAATGGCGTCCACTTTTGAGGCTAATGAAAAATTGGCTAGCAAAGCACTGAATGAAGCTAACGAATTCCGCCTACAGAAAATGCACCTTGAAGATATGCTCCAGAAATCGTCCGAGGAGCTCCAATCTATCAGAGACCATTATGAAGTAAGGATTCTTGAGCTTTCCAGCCAGGTGAGTAAAATGACAGGTCAAATCGACAAGTTGCAGAGAGAAATAGACGAAAAATCTGTGCAACTAGAGAGACAAGAAGAGCTCGCCAAGGAAACTCAGCAGCATCAGTCACAGAAAGTTATTATCCTTGAAGCTGAGATTGAAAATCTATTAGCAGACAAGAAAATATCTTCTGATCATGAAGAACAGAAGAATAGTTTGATGGCTGAATTAGATAAAATGAGGACATCAATTAAGGATATGGAATTGCTTGTCGAACAAGGTCGCAATGAAAGAAGTGAACTGGAGACTAAGCTTGCATCAGTGAGAAAAGAAGCTGAGGAGTCTTTGAAGGAATTAAACAATATGAGGTCTCTTAAGGATCAGAAGGAGGCATTAGCTGGGAAACTGCATTTGGAAATGGATAACCTTAAATCGAGATGCAATGAAATGAAAAAGATGTTGTTTGAGGATGAGGTGGAGAAAGAAAAATTGAAAAAGCAGGTGTCTCAATTAAAAGGTGATCTGAAGAAGAAAGAGGATGTATTGAATGGTTTAGATAAAAAGCTGAAGGATGCCAATGGTCGATTAATAGCTTCTAATGGAATGAAAGCAACATCAAAGAACAATAAATTAATGGCCACATCTGCAGGATCAAGAGAGGTTGCAAGTCTTAAAGAGAAGATAAAGTTGCTTGAGGTAAATATTTACCTGCCATTTTTTCTTTCTGAATGTATTATAACTTCCATATGAATTGCTGTCTGTGTCTTCTTTTACATATTTTCAAACTTCACAATATAATAGGGTTTTTTTTATTTTATGATTTTACTAGGAAATAAACTGTCTATGTACTTCCTTTATTACTGGACCTTTTTGATTCCATTGTCAGTCAAAATGTTATGAAAATTGGTACTTGAAATACCAACTGCTCTTAATTCTGTACGATTGTTCCACGACCGACAGGGTCAGATCAAGATGAAGGAAAGTGCACTTGAGAGCTCAACAAATTCATTTTTGGAGAAGGAGAGAGATCTTCAAGACAAAATAGAGGAGTTAGATAGAAGATTAGAAGATCTTAGTCAGAATGCAGAAAGGCTGTCTGAACAAGAGTCTCACAAGGTCAGCTACAAGCCATCTATATTCAGCTTTTGTGACAAAACTTAATGTTTTTTGATTGACTTCAGCAACAAGATAGTCAGTTTATTCATTTCTCGAGAATATTTTCAGTCCACTGGTCCACTAGAAAAACAAATTGAGCATTATTCTATTTTTATAGCTTAAGTACTAAGCAAAATTAACTGGTTCAAGTTTGAATTGACTCTCATGCGATTTTAGCATGTATTGACTTTTATGAAATAACATTGTAAGGGTTTGGTTCATATACGATACAGGTGGTTGCAGAAGTTCTAAGTCCAGGATCTACGACATGCACAGAAGATGAAAATCCCTGTCATATGTCGACAAGGAAGAGGTACGAGTTCTGATATTCTAATTTATCTTTTAAGCCTTTTCTATTAAATCCTGCTTGAATAGCTCACCAGAAATATGAATATGTGTCCGCTGAAGTTTTTTTTCAATCATTGTTCTTATTGAAATATTTTTGTACTTGCAGCTGCAATGGCTGTTCACTTGACAAGGAAAGTGAAGCCTCAGGATCTAATACAAGACATCTCGAGGAATTGTCCAGCGAAATTGAACTACTGAGGGAGAGGAACAATGTAATGGAAGATGAACTGAAGGAAATGCAAGAGAGATATTCAGAAATAAGCCTCAAATTTGCTGAGGTAGAAGGAGAAAGACAACAGCTAGTAATGAAATTGCGAAAACGCTAAAAAGAAACCATAAGAGGCAGTTCCAACTTCCAAAGAGGTGATTACTAAAATTGTCAAAATAAATGTAAATTGGTGAGGGACAATTCATCATTTTAAATTTTGTTTCTTGCATATAATGTTTGACTTTAGCCCTTAGATATTATACAAGAATGTAAAATAGTTTAGCTAAATAGGTTATATGTCTCACTTACAAGTTGTGTAAGAGTACTTTCAGCTGTTTCTGTGATTAGTTATTGGTAATATCTTCTGTTTATGAAAATACTCTTTTCTTTGTATCATTTAATATTTGCATGGACAAATATTTCGTTCTTTGGTCTGTAAAAGAAGAAAATTTATACTAGCTATTTGATCAATGAGAGTAAGATATCTTTTCCGGTGAATTTATTTTGCCATCAGTTTGAGTTTAGACTTGTACTATTAGAGTTCAACATACATAAACTATCACACAGCAGCCCGGTGCACTAAGCTCCCGCTTTGCGTCGGGGTCCGGGAAAGTACCGGACCACTAGGGTCTATTTTATGCAGCCTTATTCTGCATTTTTGCAAGAGGCTGTTTTCACGTCTTGAACCCGTACCTTCTGGTAACATAACAACTTTACCAGTTACGCCAAGGTTCCTCTTCATAAACTATCACACAGCCTTGGGCCTAATTGTTAAGATTCTATAAAATGTGAAATTGTGTAATTATTTTCCTTGATGTGATATACGACTGTAAAAAGATAAATATTACTATTATTTTGAAAGACACTAAACTGTAATGGTTTAGTTAAATAGGATTCACTGTGTTAAAAGTTTGTGATTTTCATAAATTGGGGTAATGCCTAGAGAATGCCCATAAAATGGTTAAATTATCTATCACATCAGTAAGATTTTGTTATATATATATCACGGGTGGGCCAATCATTAGACATTGAACTCTAATGCCTCGGGTATTAGCCACAGCTAGTAATCATTCAGTAATTTAGCAGGTGAATCATTATAAATTGATAGTAGTATATATATTAAGAATTTAAGATAATCGAATCCATTGCACCGATATTTGCCCTTTAAATTGGTTAGGACTCCGAATCTACTGACTTTGCATTCTATATTCACATTTGCTTATATAGCTGAATAATTTTAAGTAAATGTATACTTAAATTAATTTAGTATCCATTGGTCAAAAAAGTTGTTAATGGCAATCTGTAGTCTGTACCAACAAACTTAAAATAATCTTGGATTTTGCCATGAGCATGAACTACAATTATTTTTAATTTAATCCTATCACTGGATATTTTGTACATTTCAACATCCATTACATGATTACATCTAAACAACTCATTACTTAAGTTCTCTTTTCAGATGTATCTTTTCCTGTTTGCAAGAACAAACAAGGAGTAGCCAACACAACGGCAAAAGAAAAAGAAACAAAACAGGGAGATTACAATTAAAGAGAAAAAGACCTAACTAATTGCAGAATCGAAGTAGTGCATTATACATTTTTCCCTGAGCAGTAGAGGAAGTTCGATTCTCATTATGCGCGATGTGACGAATTAGGAATATACTTTTTATTTAGGCTAAAGAGGGAATTTTTCTAGAACGCTGACATAGTGACAAGTGTACAAAGTCTATAATCAAATTTTGTGATGTATGAGACCACAAACAGTAACAAGAGCCATAACCAATGAGTGATCAACATGAGGTTCCACCACCAATGTTAATACATCACTTCCAAATAGTACTCCTGAAGCTTGTTTTTGTTTTACCTTATAAAACACAAAGCCAAAAAGAATTTTACACGATCGGTATATTTTAATTTGTTGTAACGGATATTTTTTCAGATTATTATTTCAATTTAATGGACGGTTATATATTGTTATACATCTCAAAAGGGTAGTGACTAACCTCTGCAACAAGTCTGCCTGCTTGGGTCACAATCTTAATTGATTTTATTCCAAGGATAATGTTATAGCAGTTTGCTTCAGCTTGATTACATCCCAATATAACATTATAGTAATTCATATTATCTCCCCTAAGGACATTGTGAATTTTCTTCACTTGAAACCATGGTATCTCCTTACTAGTCACTCCTTCATAACTCCATTTATAGCCATCCCAATGTCCAAAAACTGGAACTTTCTGAGGGAAAAAAAAAGGAAGAAAAAACAAGAAAATATGTAAGCATTTGAAGATATAATTAACTAAAAAAATGTAATTTTTTAGCAGTTTAAATTTCTTGATAAAATGATCATATAATTTAATATGGTATTAGAACAGACAAAGTCGTGAACTCAAATCTCACTGTCACTCAATTATTTGAAGGAACTTTTACGTGTTTGGCTCGTAAAAAAGAATCAATCCAGCGCGTAAGCGGCCAACTTATGCTTACCCTATTTCGAATAGAAAAGAGAACCCTGCCATTGGAATCCATGAGATGGACTTCCTTGCTACGTTTTATGTTGTAGTTGTCAATTCGGTAAACAATTTGGCCTTTTGAATCATAAACAGTGCAGCCATTTCCATGGTAGACTAGAGATTTCATCCACAAAGTAAATATTTCTCTTCTTGGGCTCATATAGGAGTTTGAAGAAATTGAAGAATTAGAAGAAGAAGAAATAGTACTTAGATTTGACTTGTTAGAGTAAACTTTAGCCATTGAAAATGGGCTTATTAGAGAGGAATTTGGATGTATTTAATTTGAGAAAGAAGACAATGGAAAAGGGTTATATATACTTGCAAAAAGAATATAAAAGAGATGGATTAAATAAGTGGACAGAACCATGCACAATAAAGTTTTCCACTTTCTTGGTGTCTTCTTTCTAGCTAATGGCTTAAATGCTAAACAAACGTGCAAGTATTAACTTACTTTTTTCCATAGGTGTTCAGGTCGACTTGTTTGTATCTCTCAATTATTTCATATTTATCTCTTACATTCTCCGATTCATAATAAGTGATCTTTTGATATTTTTATTTTGGTCCAAAATAAGTGTCATCTTATATTATCAAGAAGAAATTAACTTTATTTTCCAAAATTTGCCCTTATCTACATATCCCAATGTGTCAAATTAACAATATGCAAATTTTAAAGTGGTACTAATTAACAATATACACTAAAAAATCACTTATTATGTACTGAAAAGAGTACATTCAATTAGGATAGTTAAGCAACTTGATTATACATCGACTATTTCACGGGGCACCGACTGCATCCAAGGCAAAATAGTTGAGTAAATGAAAATAAATCATCTAATATTTTTTTTATCTCAACCATGATTTAATTAAACCTGATATCCAAAATTTACGGCTACTTCATTTATCACTAGTTCACATCACGAGTGCAATATTAACCCTTAAAGTTCCCTATGAAAAGTTGAAAATGAAATAAGCAAAAGAAAGAGGGGAATAAAGAAGAGAATATATGCAAAAGTCAATTTCTGAAACAGCTAGACGATATATATATGAGGATTGACGGTTCATACTTAAAACATACACAAGTGCTATTTGCTGTGTTGCACTTGAGTTGGTGGTTTCTTTTTGGCTAATTATATAAACCGCTAAGAATTTAATTTTTTAGATGCCTTATACTTTTAGCGTTGGAGTTCTAATTAATAATCATTATATCGGCATCTTCTAGCTGTACATACATAGTTCTTGATATAGAGTCAAACTATTCCAATCGAAGGATGGATGTACTCTGGAGAGACAACGAGTGTAAGCTCACTGTCTTTTGCTCAAGTTATTTATATATAATTAATTTTGTTAAAATATTTGTATATGTGCAAAATTCAATCTTATTATCATAAAGTAGTAGTGAATAAAGTGGTACTTTATTCTTACTAATTTAAACCTAGATCCGTATATGATTTCGTGATTTTTAAAACACTTACTCATTGAGCCGAGGGTCTATCGGAAATAAGGTAGGAGTAAGTTATGAGTAATCATTACCCTCCACTTTATTCTTACTAATTTAAACCTAGATCCGTATATGATTTCGTGATTTTTAAAACACTTACTCATTGAGCCCGGGGTATATCGAAAATAAGGTAGGAGTAAGGTATGAGTAATCTTTACCCTCCCCAAGCTCGTGGGATTACACTGAGTATATTATATTATTGGTGAAACACCTGCTCAAAAGTAACGCAAGTAACGCTCATGTGTCATGTCTAAGAAAATTAAAGTTAATATGATATTAAATTTTCTAGATAATCACTTGTAAACAATCTGATCCCTAATATTCTGTTGACAAGTCAAATTCTATTCAAATATGATCAGTTTTTATCAAATTTATATGTTGGTGGTCTCCCTGAGTATGGTGTGAATTAAAGGTTCACTTTGCACTAAATTATTGCATAAATATTATATATCCATTGCTTGCTTTGACCCCCAAAAAAAGAGAGAATTTTTTCAAATATATTTTGTCAACAAAAGAGTGGAAGAAGCATGCTTGTTGCGAATAGGAATATCTGATTAATTTAACACCCTTTTTTCTTGCATATGCATGGTTTGTGATTTGTTAATCGTAGAATCAATGTGCCAAATTCCAATATAAAACGAAAAAGAAAGCAACAGAACACTTAAAGAACTCAAAAGATGCTAATATTGTTTTATAACTGCTAGATATGGGATTACGTTTTAAAATTATTTTAGAAGGAAATGAAAAACGAGAAAAAAGCATTTTACAAAGAAAGAAA